CGAGGGTATTCCGTTTGGTCGTATGATACGACTCATAAGATTGTTGCAAACTCTGCAAAGTTTACGGTAGATTTTATCGGAAAACTAAACACCTTGGCGTCCACTCAATCTATTTCAAGTCGGTTTTGCCGCATTCCCCTTTCACACATTCTGCCCAAAGTTTAGGAAATAACTACAAGTTCAATCTATCGGTTTTTTAGAGTTAGGTTTCATGATTCTCAGCTTTTTCTGGTAGTTTCCTCGTCAGATATAGCGAAATTCCCCAATCCAAGCGTTTTTAGTGAACCAATGGATCTCTGAATCTAAGTTGTAAATTCTTGTGTATAATATTCTATCATCAACTGTTGTACTTGTGCGCCCCACAGACACTTTGCTGTAGTTTGTTGGAGTCTACCGACTACCGACTAATGCTAACGCGCGCCTCCATGCCCATCAAAGCTTAGTGTGATTAGCAGATGAGTAGGACGAGTTCATAATTGACAAACACTGTTCACGTCGATTCCACCTGGCGTCAACTCATCACTACTCATTAGTAGTACACCAACTTGTTTCACTGGAGAGGATTTCTTCTCATTCTACCCCCTCTCCCCCTCATCATCATTGTTGTCACCGTCATTGTTAGAAGTATTCATGTCAGTGTTTACTGCATTTGGCAAGTACCGTCCAACCAAAACCTTTGCCTGTATTATTCATCCCTTCTACTGACAGAGAACTTCAAATCTGGTTATTATTAGACTGTCTACAATGGAGACGACTCCTGTGTTACCGTGTGTCCTAGCATGGACTTCATGATCGCCAGTGTCAATCATGCTGGTCAGGAGCAAAACCAACGGTGGATTAATCGATTTTGACTTTTCCGTTCAATGCACATTAATTCAATCGCAAGGTCATTCCTGTGACATGTGATTCAAGTGTGTTTGTATTGTGGCCTCTCTACCTTTCGCGCTCGCTTTCTTTTATAGTGTGGATAGGGTCGACCTTGTTTGTTTCAACGCCTATTGATCACAGTTGAAAGGTTTTGAGTGGATTTGTCTTGCCGATCAATTTGGAGGCTGAGGACTTCTGCTGACGGGTTAGCTTTTATTAGCGCTCATGATCATGTCCTGGGTTGTGCCAGAATTTGAACTCCTGACATCTGACTTGCGAGACGAGCGTCTAACCCTATTTCATCAACACATGCTGGGTTGTCATGTCTGAGTCGCGCTACCTGTCAGGGAAGTCGGCTCGATCGAATGAAAAAAAAAAAACATTGATTGAGTCGTACTTTGAAACGTTGGACAGACGAGTCACATCTTTCTAATTTGTTTTCCTGTTAGTTAGAGATCTGCTGTGACCGACTCTATTATCAACAGCACTCACACAGACCTGTCACGAAAATTCAAAGCTTTTTAAGAGAAAGTTGATTACGTTACAGAGATGTTTGGTTAACCGTCAGTGAAGTTATTGCTGGGCAACGTTNTTATACAAAGGATTCAGCAGTTGGATGATTTCATTAAAAATCTAACGGGAATATTCGACGGTGAAAGATAGTGCACCCGCGGTTAACAAAACAGCAAAATTAGTTTGAGAACAATCATGGGTCCACTGTCCAAGCCTTTTGGCTCCGTCTGGATCATAATCCAAGGCTGTTGATTAGTAAACCGATGGAAGGATCGTTGCCCACATCTCACGACCCCTTATTTGATTATCATTCCATCTTACCCTCTTCGACTACATTCAGTGCTATAATTACACATTCCAGGAGTACAGTGACACAGTCTGGCAAGTCTGGTTGCAGAGACGCTACAATAAGTTACGGATGAGTGTGACTTACTGCGACGAATGAGAGACCGGCTTGGTCTCGAAAAACACTCATCTGCAAGCTAGATTTGTCCTAACAGGACCTGAAACTGTCAATGAATGTGCTCCGCATAGACCGTCTCACGTTGCTACGATGCTGGAGATGTCGCCTTTTATTTTCCTGTCGGTGCATACTACTCACGAGAGTGCTCGACACTCTTAAATAGCTCTCGATGGCGAGATGGCTGAGTGGGTAGATCGGGAATTTACTGACTAAAAGGTCCGCGGTTCGAATCGGACCTTTGCCTCTCGACTTCCCCTTTCTAGGCTTGGGCAACCTGTAGAGTCCTAGGCCTCGTGCTTCCTTCTAGTTGCATGGCAGTTAGGTACCAAAAGAGTGTTGCAACTGAGTGGTGTCTTCTCTTGGGCGCGCATTCTACAAACACCCGCAGTCACAATGGCCCCCGTTGTATGCAAGATTCAGCAGGATTCACTTCAGTTTCCAATTAAAACCAAATCTGCCCACACTACCAAAAATCAATAAGTAGCTCAGAAAGAAAAATAATCCACACGACCAGTGGTGCATCCATCTGAGTGGTTGTCATTCGAGTAACCAGTCCTCAAGTGTTCACGTGATCTGGGTTTTTTGATTCAAGGATGAGTGGCACTGCTGACCAGCGGTGCTAGGCCGTTGACTACCGTTGATCTACTAGCCAGGAGGTCAGGGGCTGAAGACTCACTTTTAGGGTTTCTTCGGATCTGCACTGCCGATGATTCTTTATATGGATGAATCAGCTGTACAGTGATTAGCGACTCCAAAGATGCGCTCCAAAGATGGCGAAAACGATCGTTGGCTGTGAGGGAGGTCTTAGCAACCTCATGGGTAAAATGCTCCGTCAAGTAAAATAACCGGCCTATTGATATCACCGGACCGTTAGCCTGCATACAGGTCACTGAATCAGCCTAAGGTGGCTCGCAATAGTGTTGCCTCCCCCCAACAAGAATAGAACTCTTGCTTTCACCCACCATCCAATGCGTGCCTACTGCAAGCAGTATTCAAATAGAACGAGCGCCATTTGATCTACAATAAGTGATTTGTCAAAGGCCAGGACACTGACTGAGCTAGTTACTGTCCACACCCGCACTTTCAGATATCGGAATAAGCAGGTTTCATGTTCATCGTGTATCGGATAGAAACAGAACAGTGAAAAAAAACATCCTAAATGCAAGGCCGCATGCAACATACACGCCGTCGGTGCTCCAGAGTTACACGAATGTTAGAAACATGGGTGGTGCGCACTGAGGATCATCCACTTGTAGAGTAAGCAGGGTCTAGTTACCAACATTGAGGAAGGGCAAGTACTTCACAGTTGAATGACTCACTTTCAGGTGTACTTTTCAAACGATTTTCAAAATATTTAAATGTGAAATAAGACTATCAAACTATCGCCATTCCAGTCTTCTGTTTTCTATCACAACTTGCTGTGTGATTTTTTGTTACCGGATTTATTACTGACACCTGTCCTGGCAATTTTGAAAGCATCGAGGCATCTTTACGTGAGAAAAACAAAGGTTGGTTTCTACGAATACACTCATTTGCGAATCAATTTGGTTTCCACGAGACATTCAATGGAATCTCTCGTTTATGACAGTCCACAACTGAATGTGCTGCACACAGGCCGCCTCATGTTTCAGTTGACATGATATTCGAGATAGTTTCACAAAGGAAACTACTCAGAAGGTTGCTGAAAATCCGTCGACAGCCCACAACCGGTTTCGCCCTTCTTTGGGCTCATCAGGTAGGCGCGGTCCCCGAGTTTCTGTCAAACTTATGTTCTACTTGAACCCAAGTTTTACTTCGTTACGTCTTCTTTTCGAAACACCGTGGACTTGTGAGTTTCATGTCCGTCCAATTATCACAGTCGATTCTTCACCAAACAGTCTATCAAAAAAGCTGTTCGCATTGCTCGCACAGTATTGCAGTTTGGATTCAAACGAGGTCTGGGGCAACGGATAAATTGACCAAGCAGAAGCTGTCTAAGATAGATTGAAACAAATCCATTTTCTTCCTATTGTACTACTCATAAGGTTGCTGAAAATCCGTCGACAGCCCACGACCAGTTTCGCCCTTTTTGGGGCTCATCAGGTAGGCGCAGTTCCCAGGTTTTCGTTAATCTCATGTTCTACTTGAAACCAACTCGCTTGAAAACATCACAAACGAGAGATTCAGCTGGATTCCAGGTGAGTCTCTCGAAAAATCAAATTAGTTCGCAAATGAGTGTATATTCAATAAATCCATTTTTATTAGTCAGTCATCCGAACAGTTGTGCCTTTCGCAGGACTGGAAGTAGAGATTTAGTTAGGATACTGTATTTTCGTTTGTTCACACAAACGTTGCCACAAAAGTTGGCAGGAACAATCAATTGTGACCGAAATGTTCTGTTCGCATGTGTTGAGAATCACATGAAACATTCGGCTACCAATTTTCTGTGTTTGGACCGTGCTGTTCTGGCACACTATTGCTTTCGCTGATCACACAGTTTTGTTCCACTCTCATAGCTAGTAGCATAGAAACGTGTGAGTTTCCACGGTCTTTTTAAAAAGCACTGCGTATTTCGGTCTGTCTGTTTGAGTGTCTTACAGTGTTCACTGTGGGATGCTTGTGTTAGAGGCGATATGTGATTCAAACTGCCTTCACTTAGTTTTGGTTTGGGTGTCCTTGTGTTTCCAGTCAGGGTGATTGGACAGGCAAGTCTCCAACAGTATCGATTAGAGTGAATTAGGTTCGTGGACGAGATAAAAGTCCTCGATACGCAACTTGTCCGTTGTTGAGAGGAGTCCCTTCTACGCAGGTATTTTGGTGTTGACAAAAGATCTGGGAGGTTTCAATGAAGATTTGACCCTGTAGGTAAAGCCAGTTTATGCTGAAAGGCCGAGAAGCACTGTATAGCTATTTCAGCAGGGCACATCTCACGGAACTTCAGGGCCCCTCGAACTCGTGAATTACTGGCCAGTACAGTGCTTCTCGGCTTTCCGGCACGGATTCTCTTCACATACAGGACGAAATCTGAAGGGTTTGTTCAAAAACCAGTACTTTGGCCAGCCAATGTCCAGATATTTGGAACATGTTCGCTACTTCTTTCATGAGGACGTCTCTGACAGGAATGCCTAGGTTCAGGGCACAGTTTTTGATTGAAACCCTTTTCACGAGCCGAAACGGTATGACAAAGAGGACGAACAGGGATTACACTCCTTATAAGGTTGCTGAAAATTCTCCGACAGTCCACGACCAGTTTCGCCCTTTTTGGAGCTCATCAGGTAGGCGCAGTCTCGAGTGATTCATTACGAATATATTGTATTGCGATATCTCGAATATCGTAGCGACTGAAACATGAGGCGAACTGGTGCAGCACATTCGGTTGCCTGCAAACATTACAAACGAGAGATTCAGCTGGGCTCCAGGCGAGTCTATCGCAAATGAGACACACAAATGAGTATGTTTCGCCAAGGACGGACATAATTTAAATGAAAATATGCTCACTACTGCTACTTGATGAACTCCAAAGAAGTTTAGCCTAATTGTGGGCTTTCAGAGAGTTTTCTGTAAACTTATAAGTAGCAGGTACCCACTCTAGTTCTTCAATTGGAAGGCTTGTTCTCCAAAAAAGTAACAGTACAGTGGAAATTTTTCATGTTACTACGACATCGTTACCAGCCGATGGCCACACTACACATATGATTCCATAAGCTGTAGGGGTACAGAAGCCCGGTGGTTTGGATAGCCTTTGTCGACCGCAGCCCACTTGGGCAGACCAAGTAATGCGGACAGTGTCATCTTTACTAGATAACTTGAGTTGACTGATACCGAAATTCAGGAAGAAGCAAGAAAATTACTATTCATCGAGCTCCTAACAAGTACGACTTTTTTGGTCTCTAGTAAGAACGCCTAGTAGTGAGTAGCCGTCCGATCACGTGACTTATCCCAATTTCATTACGTCGACGAAATGTAGCACAATCAGAAACACACCAACACAGCAGAAGCCAGGGACTCTCCACGTTACTCATCCGGAGGGAGCACACCACGGCGGAGATATATCACAGCAAAGAGTTGGTGATAGGAAACATCCTCTTGGCCTTTTCAGGGAGGTAGCCCTTCATTGAAATAAAAGCCTCTCAGTGACGAAACTCCCCGACTGTTGACAATATGGCGCCCTTCACCCAATGCAACATACTGAAACGTTCTCATCTTCCTAAGAAGGAGCAGTTCCGTGGTGTAGACAGCCCCCAAGGATGCATCTTCGAGGGGAGATTACAGCAAAATAGCCGTGTAAATGGTTTGTAGAGTCCGTATCCAAGTCACTCTCTCCTTTTGTCCTGAAGCAACTGTCCACAACTGGACTTGACTGACAGTGGTCCTCCAAATGGTAGTGAGACCTCCGCAAGCCAGTTGCCAAGTCCGGTGAACATATCAACTGACACCTGATCAACAGACAATCTGATTTTGGCCATACTGAGATCATCTGACGAGCTAATTTCTGTCGTCATCATCCTCACCACAATGCAAATAGTACTAGTAATAATCTCCAGCAATCAAATACAAGAACAAATACAACAGTCAATACAATCAGCATGAGATGGACATCATCAGGTGGTTGGATTCGAACGATGTTATTAACCAGTGATGAGTTGATTCAACCACACCAACTTCATCATCATCATCATCATCATCATCATCATCATCATCATCATCATCATCATCA